TTCTTCAGCTGGTCTGYGAGGAGACAGAATCCACTCATATCTTGATACACCACAGCTTTGTACTTTTGTTTTTTCTTCTTAAAAACACAGGATGTTGTCAGAAGGACAGAGAAGAAAATGTCTTGCTTCGTCAGGTTAGGTATAACGTGAAAATCAACTTGATTGTTTAAGTTTGGGGGAAAGAAAAAAAACTAACGGTAAGATGAATGTCTTACCAAAACCCTTCAGTTATTTCAAGCTCTTACTGGTGAATGTTGCACAAGAGCACGTGTTGTGACAGCAACAAAAAGACTGTCAGGACTGCAAAAATGTTGTATCTAACAAACTCCCAACCACACCATTTAATTTACAGGGAAAGGAGCTTAAACAACCAGGATGACCATCTACAGCAGGTGCTTAATTTACCCCGTCAAGCTTATGTGTGAATATGTGATGTTTGTGCAGCTGCTCTTCCTGCTGCAGAGCTCTATGCCTGTTATCCATGGGAGGATTTCCATTTATTTCTCCCATGATGCTGCAGTGTGATGCTGCAGCATGCAAAATCTCTCCTTGCTGTCTATTTAGACATGCAGGTATATATCAGTCCCAGTCAGATGGCTGGGCTGAAAGCGTGGAGGGGATTTATTTTAAAAAATGGAAAAAGACAGGGGTGTGACATTTGGCTGTTTGTTACCCCCCAATGCCAGCAGTTCACAGGGTGATGACAAACTGTGACTTCAAGGGAGAACAGGCTGTAAAATCCATCTACAGTCGTCTCTATTCAGAGGGAATCAACACATAAACTAAGCATGGGCATGCACGTCTTTTAATTTGAAAAACAAAAATGATATGTGGAAAAATGAGCGGCTGCTGTCGGGAAAGGAGAGGCAGCAGAACACTCTGCTCACCGGGGAGCAGCTAAGTAACAGACAGGAGAAATCAATGCAGAGAGTCGATGGACAGTCATTAAGTCCGCACTCCGACATATGTGGCAGACAGCCTTCACAATGCTGCGCCGATACAAACAGAAAAGAAGACTTTACGCAGGCTGCCAAGCATAAACAGCCATTTGAAGGGAGGTTAGGACAACCAAACTAATGTTACTGTGGCGGAAACCAAAAGAGGAAGCAGGTAACGGTGAGCAGAGTTGAGTCATGTTGATTGAACTGGTTRTGTTTTCAACAGACAGGTTAGACCAGGGGTTCTCAAGCTATTTGGGTCTGGGGACCCCTTACAAGGGCAAAAAAAAATTCCAGGGACCCCCTCATAACCCCACTGCTGTTTTAAAAGATAATGTACTGTCAATTCAACCCTTAAATGCCATGTGAATATATATTTTTATTAAGTTTATTATGTTTGTTTTATTAGTTCATTGTTCTCCATGCATTTTTAAAAATAAAAACCAGATTAACAATTTAGTGATACCTCTCGTGGACCCCAGTTTGAGAACCTCTGGGTTAGACCACACGATTCGTGGTCTACATTTTATACAGAAATAAAAATAAAATTCTRATTCAGACTTCAGTACAAAAACATAACTGTAACTAAAAGGTTTGATGGGTGTAACTTTGGCACTTATTGGATCTCAGGGTCAAGGTGAAACGCTTCACTCGAGTCAAACACTGGTGAGAAGAAGTCTGTATAATAATGCCTTAAATGTTTTTAAATGTTGAACAGTTTCTACATGAAGAAGTAAATTATTCCACAAATAAAAAAACTGCAGAAGGTACAATCAGCTTAACTGTTATGTTTAAACCTTGGAATATCTCAGAGCATCTGGTTGTTTGATTCAGTGTTGTAGATGATGACGTWTGGCATGTAGGGCAAACATCAAACATGATAATATAAAACACACTGAAGGGTAAAACAGAACCACGCCATTACAAGTCTTAAAAACTAACAACAAAATGTTAAAATCAATTCTGACATACAGTGTCAGTACAGCTTATTCAAAAAAATACTATCTACTAAAGTAAAATGTGAATATACTAAAAGGTAAACTGTTTCATAAGATTGACTGCAAAAGCTTGATCGTGTTTATTTTTAAAATCGGGACCTTGGAACATCTAAAAAAAGGTGGAGGGGTGATGTATGGATGTACCTTAAAAGTAAGCAATAAAATCTTTGAATCAATATGATAACAAAAAAAGAGTGGAAAGAAATGTCAGAGTTATGTTCCATGTTTTTAGAGCTACTGTGTTGTAGACAGACAGTAAACGATACAAGGACAACTGATTTAAACCAACAAACAGAGCATTACAGTGGTCTCAACAAGAAGTGATCAAAGTAGGAATCTATTTTTTTAAGTCTTTGACCAGGAAATATGACTTCACTTTGGCAATACAGTATCTCTTGATTTACCATCTGAACTTATCTGTTTATCTAAAGCCACTCAAAAAATGACACCAAGATCCTTTCAGGCTTTACTATCACCCATAGATTTTAACAGTGTTTTCATTGGAAAATCACCGTCTAACCTATTAACCTGGCAAACCAATGAAAAAGAATGATAATGAACCCTAAAGGCTGTAAGTATAAAGTGAAAAGTAGGGTGGAGCGATAAATCGATTTAATCAATTAATTTGAATTTGCCATTTATAAAGATTTAGTTTGGGGAAAATCTGGATTTTATTCCCACCAGTGCACTCTTTGGGGCTTCTGTAGTTCAGAGGTCACCCCACCTGTCCCTCAAGATGCTTGGTACATGACATGACAATATGGCAGCTGGCGAAGAGGATCTACTTCCCAAAAAAGTCACTGTTCCTCCAGTTTTCTGGAACTGGTTAGGTTTTGCAACCTCTGACTTAGAGCAACAAACACCTCCCTGCAAAATCTGTTTGAAGGCTCTTTCTACAAAGAGAAGGAGTACAACAAATTTGTTTCAACACCTGAAACAGAGGCACTCCGTTAGAGCTGGGCGATATGATCAAAATTTTACATCACGGTATTTTCAATATTTTCACCGGTTTCATGGTTTTTGACGATATTTTTCTTTTCATCACAGCTCAGCTGATAATAAAATGTACAAACCCTGCTTATTGAGTTTTTTTCTTTTACTGTACCTCTGTCTGTGTYGCTGTTTCCCTCCTCTGTGTCTGTTCTTCTCTGACTGGTGGTTGGAGACAGTARTCAYGCATTTTGGTCCAGTCGTGAAGGAGGAGGGTTAAGAAAAGATTATGATCGGGTTTATTGTTTTATGTTATTTATTAAAGCTTATCAGCACGACTCACCTTGCACACCAGTCAATTCTAACTCCAGTACGAACTACTTCCTGCAGGCTTTTCACAATGGAACCACGTTAAGTCTCCATCAGCATAACGTCTCCATATTAACTAACCGCGTTAAATCTAACCGTGCACATCACTGAAGAGGTGTTTACTACATTCAGCGACGGTGAAAACGGGATGTTTTTTTAAACGTCAGTCAATATAAGCAGCGGAATCGCCACCCGGGGCTGCAACTAGCTGCTCCAAACGTTAGCATGCTAACGCACATAGTGGTGCAGCAAGGAAAAATGTCCCCCAGGAAACAACAGTTCACTGGCGGCCGCCATTAAACATTCCGCTATTTAAAAGTCCGGTATTCAGAAAATTCATACCATAACAAAAATAAAAACCGGTATTCGATACAAAACGGTATACCGCCCAGCACTACACTCCGTTAAGTGGTAAATAAAATTGAAAATTGAATTTGGGATGAAAACATACCTGAGAATTTTTTTTTTTTGGGGGGGGGGGGGGGGGCATATTGCCCAGCCCTCGTGAAAAGGAAAGGACCCAAAAATGGATCCTTGAGGGATTCCACAAGTGAAAGGGGCTGCTGAAGCACTGTCAAACTCCTGTTTGTCATCGAATCTACAGACAGTAACTCTGCCTTTAATTTCAGTTGCTCCACACCTTAAGGCCCAATGTGTATTTAGCTTTTTAATCCATCTCTCATATTTATTTTAACACCTGAAATTCCAGTTCAACGACCTAATCATTTATAGTCATTGCTTAACAGATGTATTTTTTTTTTACTTGCAGCTCTGGAAAACAAAGTCAGAATGAAAAAGCAGTGCTACAGAATTCTAGGAGCGTTGTGAGGTGATGGTAAAACGGATGACAAATTRTTCATAAATGACAGCGAGAAGAGGGAGTAATGACCCAAGTTCTCATCTTATCAAGCGATCTGGCACTGCAGTAGCAGAGCAAACACCATGTTCACTTTTGGATGATCATATCTGGTCTTCCCCTCTTCCTAATCCCTCATTTCGACCCCTCCGGTCACCTCTATCTTTCTTTTCCACCCACAGCTGAGGTATGAACCACAGAACCTCACAGATCTGATAAGCACTCACTTTTACTCTCACAAATCGACCCCRAGTGGCTGCCTGACGACAGACACATCCACTCACAGTCCACAGTTAACACCTGGATGCCTCTCTTCTGTCAGCTGCGATCTGACACCTGGGGGTGTCCATCATTAGATGGGACCCTGAATGAATCAAACCTTTAAARCAATTTAATAAAATAAAGATGGGTWATATGCMGTCGATCAGCTACAGACACATGCAGGAGAGCCAGGGGAGGGAGAGAAAACGCCCTGCTCGGYTCAGTCATGTAGGAACTCCAGCCTCATAGTTCTGCTACACAACATCACCTTCGCATAAGCTGCTGGTTTTTTTTAAGTCTGCTGAGGCCACATCTGGACACCACCACTGGTTTCTGCTCGTTTTTTTTCCCTCTCCTTTGTCAGCCATCTATGAGCTCTCCTCATACYCAAGCATTAGAAGACATCATCATATTGCTCATGAATCCAATTATTATCATTAATATGACAAACAGTAATAACGATGTTACCTTTGCAAATAGTGAAATACAAATAGGTAAGTAGGAGAGGTGAGGGGTGCGGAGAGGGGGAGATCAAGGAAAACACAGGATATAGTAAGGAAGCACAGATTTAACACTATCATGTCTGAGTGTGTGCTGTCCTTTAACAATCAAAAAGGCATTTTGAAAAGTTCTTGCTTTTTTTTTTACCTTTAACTTGAGTTTCGTATTCGGCCACGATCTCCTTGTCCTTTCGGAATTTCGCCGGAGACGTCATGGCTGAGTTTTTTTGGGAGACCAAACCGCTTCTTTTTCCCCTCGCCGCGAAGTCAGTTTTCTCTAAACTGCCCAGTTAAAGCAGCCGAGGATGTAATGAAAGGAATGCCACTTAGGAACCGGCTTTTAGAAAGAAAAAGGCTAGAAAGAGAGGGGGGAAAGAAAAGAGAGCGCAGAGAGATTGCAGCTCCTCGGTGTGCCCGTGGATCTGTATTGTCTCTCTCACTCAGGGCGCATTGTGAGTTTGGCGCTGCTGCTGCTGCTGGATCCGCCGCCGCCGTGCTTTAACGCTTCCTCAAAACCGGTTCTGGAGCAAACAAGTTCAGCTGGAAAAAAAATCATTCCCTTTTTAAAAATGTAAACACTTACAGCCTCTAAGTACGTCCTGACAAAAGTCGTTTTTTTTTTCTAGCTCAAAAAAGCTCTGCGTCGTAGGAGCCCCTCCGCCTGTCTGAACCAAACTGCACCGCTGCTCTCTTGCCCCTCCTGAAGTGAAAGAGAGGAAACCAAGTGGTGATGAAGTGAATGCCTGCTGGTCAACTCTATAAATCCGCAGGACAAACATGACAACATTCATTTACACAYAGAAATATATAAACAACAACACAGCCTACTAGCTAGCTAATGAGCTAGCCTGGAATTATACATAAAATTACAGAAATTGTCTAGTACCTTTTTGACAAGTTCTTTGAAYTTTTGCTTATCCATAACTGTTCAACAAGCTAAATACAAGTTTTAAAAAAAGGCAGATATAACAACTTTAAAACGAGAACGCATTTKGAAGTATATTCAAACAATATTTGAACACTAAAGTTCAAACTTTTTCCTTTTTTATTAGCCACGCCTACACGAAACTTCCCACAGACAGGGGTCTGCATCATTTAGACGCCAGCGCACATGCCGGCACACTAGGAGGAATTTACGCATCTCAAGCTTTATGTCAAATGTTCCGCCTATATCCCCCACATAGTTCATGTGACTTATACAAATACAACATGGCTGTTTTTTTAAAATACCAGGATCAAAATATATACATTAGGACCGATTATATGTTGAGTGTGGTCATTTACTTACTGTGTATTGATTACAGTATTTTGTCTATTTTTCGTTACCTTAAAAAAACCCGCACTCTTTATCTTACTCTTAATTTTATTGTTACACCGCCCGCAAAACGCTTTATTTCTCGCTTTAGGAAATAAACTCCTCCCTTGCCACCTGTCATTCTAGCCGTGTCATGCACCGCTTGACCGATAAGGAGTAAACCCAATGTAAGGAATTTCAATGACATTTTTCAAAACCAATAGGTATCGTGCATTGTAAAAGTAGACGTTTCATTGTAAAATGTTAACCAATCGAAGGAAGCTTTTGTAAAGCTTTCGACCAATGACGTTGACTTTCTTTGCACCTATCCAATCAAATTCAAGTATTGGGTCTTTTAAAAACAAGTTTCAGGAAGTGTCCTTAAATAGCAGGAAGTTGTAAACAAAGCTGACAGCTATTTGGCTAGCTGTTAACTACACCTGAATCGAATTAGCCGCGTAAGAGAAGCTAAATGGTTTATTTCTCAGTAATACAGCAAACAAACTGTAACGTAGGGATCGCCTTGTGGTTGTTCCGTGCATTTGTATAGTTAGGTTCACGTTAATTGTCTCCCGTTTCGACGCTACGAGGGTAGAAAAAAGCTAACACAAGGACGTTAAAGCAGTCATTGTCCTCAGCTGAGTAAACAAAAACCGTGCATTAGTCAAACTGTACGAACACTGAGCAACATAGGTACGCGTTAATAGTTTTTTTTATTATTATTACTTATTGGACAGAAAGACCGAGAGGGTTCGTTTTGTTGTTGTTGTTTTATATTTAGCAAAACAACAACAATGTCAACATCTAACGCCAATTTTAAGAACAAGTGTGTGACCCAGGTGAACTGCATCTTCTGTGAGAGTCTGCTCTGCACCAGAGGCATGAAAGCAGTGCTGCTAGCAGACACCGAAGTGGAGCTGTTTTCCACGGATATACCTCCAAACAGGTAGCTGCTAAATGTGTTAGCCCTACTGCTGCTGGCTGCTGTTTATGTCTGATTTTTGTTGTTGTTATTGTTTATAGGCTCAGTGATATTTGTTTTACCAAACTGTRTGAAGTCAAAACTATTCATCTGTAGGTAGAAAAACATGATTCGTTAGTTTATGTGAAAACATGATACTGGTGTAATGTAGGACCTTTTTATTCTCATGTGTAATACCTTTTTTAAAATGCACTTTCCCTTCAGAACKGTGGACTTTGTGGCCAGCTGCTACTCTACTGAAAGCTGTAAATGCAAACTGAGAGACATTGCATGTCTCAAATGGTGTGTAAACCTTTTTTGTACCTATCAGTGTTTGCCCAAGGATGAACATTTGCTTATGTGAAAAGAACAAAGATCACAATTACCTTCATGAATGCTGGCAAAAAAACTTGAATATACTCCTGACATTTCCCCAGAAAGTGAAACAAAAGCTTAGGACTTGTTTGTCTTTCTGGCTGTCTTGAATATAACTATATTTAATGTATAATTTTTTATTTGTTTCTAACTTTTGAGAAGACCTTAGTTCTACCGTGGGGCCTTTCACTGCTTTGTTTTGCCAGGCTTTTGTTGTAGTTGTACACAGTGGAAAAAATAAACATCTGCTGGATAATAGACAGCCTCTAGTGGAGTTAGCACTTTTCAGAAACGCCCCCAAAGAAAGTGCTGACTTGTGTTTTTTTTTTTTTTTTCTTTGTTCTCCCTCTGTCCTGCTCCCAGCGGCAACGTTGTTGGCTATCATGTGGTAGCCCCCTGTAAACCCTGCCTGCTCTCGTGTAACAACGGCCATTTCTGGATGTTCAATAGTGACGCTGTATCTACTCTCAATAGACTGGATGCGACAGGTCAGTATGCACCCCCACCCACTTTTTTTTAAATATAGAACAGGAGCTCTGTGCAGGTGTTCACTTTTCYAAATGTGCTTGCAGGTCTGAATCTGCTTCTGTGGGGAGATCTTCCAGAGCTGGAGGACAGTGAGAATGAAGAATCAGAAAGCCCCTCAGAGGAAGAGTGTATTAGGTAAAGAGAGAAAACACAAGAGGATGTGGTTRCTAGAAGAGTATACAAACCAGGTGGGGGTGAGACAGGAAAATGTGTGTTAAAGGGTAATTTAACACTGAATCACATAAAGCAGATAAGCTCTGCTGTGATCCGTTAGCCCCGCCCCCAAACAGWGATGTCACGGCAGGTGTTTTTGCTCCAGCAGACGACACGCACCACCTGCCGYGACATCATTTATCAAAGAGTGGCTTTTCGTGTTGAATTACCCTTTAACATGAGACCAATGCCTTTCTCCTTTTGTTTTTCCRCTGTTAAAGCACAGACACACAGTTTTCAACTTTTCGCTTCAACATTTAGCTGAAGATGGCAAACGTCTAGATTTCCTAAAATAACGTTAGCTYACATCTTCGATCCGCCTCAAGAGAAGTGTGTTATAAAAACCAGTGGAACTTATCTGTGAATGCTGTGCTTACTCAAGCTGTTTATGTTAAATTATTATTTTTTTTGGAGATTGCTTCAATTCACCTATTTTTATTTTGATTTGTTATCTGTACRCTGAATATGCTGTTATAAGAAAACTCCAATTCTGAGTTGTACTCGCGACGTGGCCTGGTGCTGAATGAAACCTAGAGTGCTTTTTTATTTTTAAACTCTCACATACTAGAGTAATGGCACAATTGTTAACTAATGTACACATTTCTTGCTTTTTAAAGGGCRTATTTAATTCAAGGTACCTTTACAATTTATCAGTGAAAGATGTGGATACGCTAACACAGTTTCTTTGTGTTTGCTTTTACACTTGTGATGACAGTGGTACTAGTTTAACACCCAGATTTTGTACTAATATATATACTAACTAGTGATAACCAGCTGCTGTGTTTCAAAAGGTCCAGATGTCACAGAAAGATCACTGATCGAACATAAACCTCCATATTGTGTTATAATACTGTTTGGTTTTATGTATCAGCGTAMCTGTAGCACCTGAGGTGGCAAAAAGGAACTCCAAAGAATCGTTTTTATTTATTTTTTTGTATAAATTGGCCACCTTATTAAAAACGGTTATATTTGTGGGGGTGCACCAATGCCACCTTTTTTTGCAGGGGGCTCAGAAGACAAGTACTTACAATATCAAGCACTGATACAAGTATTAATAAATACCAATATACTGTTTGAGTAGTAGAACTTCTAAATTTGTTAATGTATTAAAATACATTTTTTCCAATGCCACCTTTAAAACAATGTCCGTCACATTTAATTACATGATAAGTGAAATAATTTACCCATAAGGCAGCTGTTAAGTGTTAATCAGTGACCCGTGGTGAAAGATTCTGATAAGCACAGTTAGTTTTGGACCAGGTCCAGTCTGCACCTTTTGCTCCCCTCTCCTCAGAAAGCTGTAGCTTGATGATGGCCCCTGGCCCGGATCCTTGCTAATTCACCGGGAAGCTGCCGGAGTGCTCACCGGCCCGACTTCCTCGGGTCGATAACTCCTTTGCCGCTTTTTAACAATGTCCTTTTTCACCTCGACGATAACGATGATGATGATGAAGGCCTTCGTTCTCTTGCCAGGAATCTTCATCTCAGATCTGTGTTTTCTCAGTGCCCCTCTTCTGCTCCATCGTTCCCTTAAATACCTCGACACAGATCATTTTTCTGGTGCTGTTTATTAGCGATGGCTTTACCAGCCACCTGCTAGTGAGGAGCGTGGATCAGGACAGCTARCTCACTCGGTTAACGTTGCTCCTGGTGCATCCCTGCTCGGTTTATAGGACATTTCACATTTTTTCAGGAAACAGGTTGCGAGGGTAAAGACGGAGCGGACAGCTGACTTGAAAGCTTGTTTTTACCTCAGTAAAGCTGTGAGCTGACAGGCGAACCACAGTTAAGCTSTTACTCAGCTCCCTGACAAACTCCCCTCGGTTAAGACGGGATGAACCTCGAAGTGTTTAAAACTTTGTGGCAGTGCTGCTCTTGAGCCCCCGCTGTTGTTTCAATGTAAATATGACAATCTTGTCTTAAAGTAAGCACCTCTGAGTGGATGAAACTGTCGGCAAATCCCATAAAGGAAGCAAACGTTGAATGTTACACTTGTTTTTCCCCCTGAACGCAGAAAAGAAATGATATTTATTTTGCTATGTTAATTGGCCCCTGTGTTTATCTATGCTGCAGTCTATAATTGTAGGAAAACAAATATTGAGAAGGAAACTTTTTATTTTTTCACAACTGACAGTCTGTTATAGACCAAATCCTGTGTGATGAAAAACATCACAACAGCCTGATATTTATTAAATACACAAACCAAATAACTGTAACCTTATTTTTTAACATACTTTGTTTACAAAATCTTTGATTTGTCTTGTTCCAGTATCTGTTTTTTTATTTAATATTTCATCTTTTAGTGCTTTGTTTTTGTATGTTAAGAGTTTGATGTGTACAGGTTTACCTCATGATGGTATTGAATCTGAGTTTCCTCTGGCTAGGATGATTGTGAAGTGATAATCATGACTATTTAAATGACTTGTTTCTGATGYGAATAACTTGGATTAACATGCCCTGCTGATGATGTATCTTTTGGAATTGCACTGAAACTGCTATGGTAGTTTAAAAAAAGATTTGTTTTTTGAATGCTTGTTAAGTTAATAAACTTTGTTTTTCAAAAAAAAATCTTGAACACTTGTTTTTCCTGTTATTGCTGATTTGAAATCTTCAAATGAAGATATTCTGATGGAAGTCGATAGCATTACATGCTCTGCTTTTTTTCTTGCTTTAAACAGCATAGTCACTTTATGTGAAATGACTATTACAGTAAATATAAAAACATTGCTAATTTAGTTCTTTTTTTTTCCTGCTTTTAATCAAAACATGGTCCCTTCTCATTTTGCACGTCTGAGATAATCGGTGTGAATGCCTTATGGCATTTACCAAAACGTTCAGCTCATTCAGGAAATTCCGGCTCTGACTTTTGGTATTTCTGCTATTTATACTTTTTTTTTTTAGCTATTTCCCTTTTTTAGCCACTTTTTTGCCATTGAAAATGAATGGTGTTATTTTCAACATCCTTAAAATCCTTTAAAATGTTTCTAAATGTTTACAGCACCTTACACAATTTGTTCTGCTTATGCTCTTTTGAATTTCCTTGTGCAAATTTTAGTTTATTTCTGCTATTTCAGCTAAAATTCTTATTCCTGCCATTCCTCTGCTATTTTCTGCTTTTTTGTAATTCTTTTATTTTGTGCTATTTATGCTTCTTACAGATGCTTTCTGCTATATTCAGCTATTTGCTGCAATTTTAGCTGATGTTCAGCTGTTAATAGCTAAAGTTAGCTTTTTTAAGCTAAATGCACATTTTTTGTAACTATTAGAACTTATTTCTGCTAAATACAGCAAACTTGGTTTCTTATGCTCCCTTATGCTAATTAACATGTTTCCAGCTACTTTTTAGCTGTTTTACTGAAAACTTCAGCTGTTTTAGCGATTTTACTACAAATTCTTTTTTTTTTTTTTTTTTTTTCAGTTTTATGGGTTTTTTTTCTACTAATTTTGAATTTTTCACAACCATTTCACCATCTGGGTGCTACTTTCAATTTGACTGCTACCTTTAGCTTATTTTTATGTTAACTTTAGCTGCTAATTTGTACTATTTGCTTCTTACAGTTGCTTTCTGCTATATTCAGCTATTTGATACAAATTTAACAAAATTTTAGCTGTTATTAGCTGAAGTTATCTGTTTAAACTAAATACACTTTTGTAGCTATTAGAGCTTCTTTCTGGTAAATTCAGCAAAGTTGTGTTTCTTATGCTTCCTTATGCTAATTAAAGAACTTTCTGCTACATTTTAGGTGTTGAAAACTTTGGCTGTTTTAGATATTTTACCACAAATGATCACTTTTTAGTAGTTTTATGGGTTTTTATCTGCTAATTTTGAATTTTCTACAACCATTTTACCCTCTTGGTGCTATTTTCAACATAAGGCTGCTACCTTTAGCTTATTTTAATGTGATTTTTAGCTTTTTTGTGGCTATATTAGCTAAATTCTATACTTCTTTCTGCTTTATCTCTGCTTATTACTTTTTTTTTTTTTTTTTTGCAATTCAAAGTGCTATTTTTGCTTCCTACAGATGCTGTCTGCTATATTCAGCTATTTGCTGCATGTTTAGATTATGTTTAGCTGGTATTAGCTAAAGTTAGTTTTTTAAGCTAAATGCATTGTAGCTATTGCAACATTTTTTCTGCTAAATTCTTCAAATCTGTGCTCCTTATGCTAATTAAAACATTTCCAGCTAATGTTTAGCTATTTTACTGAAAATCTCGACTGTTTCAACTATTTTAATAAAAATGATCACTTTTTAGTAGTTTTATGGTTGTTTTTCTGCTAGTTTTGAATTTTTTTTTACAACCATTTCACCATTTAGGTGCTACTTTCAACTTGAGAGTGCTACATTTAGCTTATTTCTATGCAAATTTTAGCTTTTTGATGCTATATTAGCTAAAATTCTGCTTCTGTGMTTTTTCTCTCCTATTTTTTGTAATTATTTCTTCTACTTTGTGTCTATTATACTTCCTGCAGTTGCTTTCTGCAACATTCAGCTATTTGCTACAAGCTTAGCTAATGTTCAGCTGTTATTAGCTAAAGTTAAATTATTTGAACTTGACCAATTTTTGATATATTGAGCTAAAATTATTGGCAGCTGAGACTTGGCTCTATCATAAATAGCAGATGAAAAAAATCCAAGATGGCCACCAAAGAGTTTTAAAGGCATTTTTCTCTGCCAATGTTTGAGATATTGACATGAAAACTGGTAGCTGAGAGCAAGCTTATCACATAYTGAAGCCTCAAAAATTCCACAATTGTGGCCAAAGCTRTTTTGGCTACTATTTCCTTCTTCTTACAGTTGCTTTCTGCTATGTTCATCTATTTTAGTTTTTGCTGAATCAGCAAAAATTTAGCTCCTTTTTATTGAATTTCTGCCCTTTTGTTTGTATTTTTTCAGATTCCCAAGTTTAACTTAAAATAATAGTTTTGTTATTAAACATTTTCAGCTCACTTTAAGCAGCTTTCAGCCAAAGTTTTCAGCAATAGGCATTCACACGAGCATTTTCGCAGGAAATGCAATTTCTCTGGTTTACGTAGCGATCAGTTCAGTAAAATCTATCCAGTTGTTCATTAAATATTTAATAATCAGACAGGGTTGACTCCATAATTTAAAATGTTTGGAGCTGAGTTTTAGACCGATGCAGACGTTTTGTTCAAATTTGAGAAAGTGTAAAATTTCTTCCACAAAGCTTCTTGAAAGAAAATCAGTTTTTAAGTCTTTGTGATCCTCAGTTACCTGCATTGTTCTGATCATTTCAGCGTGATAGGAAATCTGTGCATCATGAAACTTTACTTTCTCTTCCTGCTGATTTTGGGAGGTGGATTTGTTTGTGCACGCTGCAGCTGTCAGGACACGTTAAAGACAAACTTGGCGAGACGGAGAAAACTGAACGTCTCACCCTGGATTTGCACAAATTTGTTGCAACTTGACTACTTCAAAATCATAGCATCAGCTCTCCATTTGCTATAAACTTGCCAAACTAAAACCTCTCTTGACCTGTTACAGTCTGTGCAGAATGCAGCTGCCAGGCTCCTGATTAGATCTAAGTTTTGTCATGTGACTCCACGTTAATGCAACTTCATTTGCTCCCAGTTCATTATCAAGTGAAATTCAAGATTTTGGTTTTGACTTGGCGAGCTCTGCATGGTCAGACACCACATTTCTGCACTTTTACATTTTGACACTCCTGTCAGGGCTCTGAGGTCGTGTGATAAAGACATGCTGATTGTTCCTCGGACAAAATTAAAGACGAAAGCAGACAGAGCTTTTTCGTCTGTGGCTCCAAGGCTCTGGAACTCACTTCCTCTGAATTTATTAAAATCAGCAGACTCTGTGGACTCCTTTAAAGCTTGGTTAAAAACTTACCTTTTTAAATCTGCTCTGTCTAACTTTATTTTATTTATTTATTTATTGTTTGTGTTTGTTGAAGCACTTTGTGATCCCTGTCTTGAAATGTGCAATATAAATAAAGTTTTACTTACTTTGGTTTTCCCCAAACGAGTCATGTTGGTTTATGTTTCCTGATGAGGTGATTTGAAGTTATGGTAAATGGATTGAACTTATAGAGCACTTTACCAAGTCCCTCCGGACCCCAAAGTGTTTTACTCTTACATTCACATTCACACACTGATGATGGCAAACTACACTGTAGCCACAGCTGCCCTGGAGCACACTGACAGAGGTGGGGCTGCCATACACCGGCGCCACCGGAACCTCTGACCACCATCAGGGTGAATTGTTTTGCCCAAGGACACAACGACTGAAATGGCTGGACGGGGGATCAAACCGGCAACCTTCCGGTTCCAGGACGACTCCCCTAATCACTCTGCCACAGCCGCCCAGGCTAGAGTATAAACCGGTGACAACAGTGCCTGGCCAAAGTATTTGGCCCCCTTGAACTTTTCAATCTTTTGCCACATTTCAGGATAAAGATATAAAATTTTATTTTATTTTTTTTGTTTAGAATCAACAACAAGTGGGACACAGTCGTGAAGTGGAACAAAATTTTTAGGATATTTTAAAGTTTTTTAACAAATAAAAAACTGAATAATCGAGCGTGCAAAATTATTCGGCCCCTTTGTGTTAATACTTTGTAGTGCCACCTTTTGCTGTGATTACAGCTGCAAGTGGCTCAGGGTCTCTATCAGTTTTGCACATTAAGAGACTGAAATTCTTGCCAATTCTTTCTTGCAAAACAGCTGGAGCTCAGTGAGGCTGGATGGAGAGCGTTTGTGAACAGCAGTTTTCAGCTTTTTCCACAGATTCTCGATTGGATTCAGGGCCATTCTAACACCTGGATATGTTTATCTGTGAACCATTCCATTGTAGATTTTGCTTTTTGTTTTGGATCATAGTCTTGTTGGAAGATAAATCTCCGTCCCAGTCTAAAGTCTTTTACAGACTCCAACAGGTTTTCTTCCAGAATGGWCCTGTATTTGGCTCCATCAATTTTAACCATCTTCCCTGTCCCTGCTGAAGAAAAGCAGGCTCAAACCATGATGCTGCCACCATGTATGACAGTGTGTTCAGGGTGATGACCTGTGTTGCTTTTACGTCAAACATATCGTTTTGCATTGTGGCCAAAATGTTTGATTTTGTTTTCATCTGACCAGAGCAGCTTCTTCATGTTTGGTGTGTCTCCCAGGTGGCTTGTGGCAAACTTTAGACTCTTTATGGATATCTTTGAGAAGTGGCTTTCTTCTTGCCGCTTTTCCATAAAAGCCAGATTTGTGCAGTGTACAACTGATTGTTGTCCTGTGGACGGACTCTCCCACCTCAGCTGTAGCTCTCTGCAGTTCATCCAGAGTGATCATGGGCCTCTTGGCTGCATCTCTGATCAGTCTTCTCCTTGTTCCAGATGAATATTTAGAGGGAGGGCCGGGTCTTGGTAGATTTGCAGGGGTCTGATACTCCTTCCATTTCAATATGATTGTTTGCACACTGCTCCTGGAGATGTTTAAAGCTTGGGAAATCTTTTTGTAGCCAAATCCATCTTTAAACTTCTCCACAACAGTATCTGCCTGGTGTGTTCCTTGGTCTTCATGATGCTCTCTGCACTTTAAACA